GTTGTACCTAGGAACAGGCTAAATTAACGTCAAACAAAATATCAGACAAACCTTAGATTTACAAAACATATCGGCAACAGTGTCCCTTTCTATGGTATGGAGTTATGCCCATGTTCGTGAAGTGTTAAGCTGTGGCCATTTTGTAATTTTTAACGTCTAAAGGTCGATTCACACACATCAGTCACGTCACAGTCACGGTACCGAACCGGTCCTGTTTGGTCACAGAACTATCAACTATCTGACAGCTGGCAAACTGTTCGTCAACTGATGAGTGTGAATGCCGGCGCCATATTTGTATTAAAGAATATTTTGTATGACGGATTGTTCGATTCGGCGCAATCACTGTGACGAGATGGTGACGAGACGTGACTGATGTGTCTAAATCTACCTTAAAGTAAGTATTTTCCCGGCTGTTTCGTCTTATTGCAAATTATCAATTTGACTGTAGTAAATAATCATGTTAGGGTTATATTACTCGTAATTTAGACTACCTAATCCACTAATCAAACTGTTGTATCTGTTGTGGCTAACGACTTATTCGACTGCTTTTATACATGGAGTCCCCATGTTGTACCTGGGGCCGTCCCCAGGTACATTAATAAAAGTGTTAGTATCAAACAATGTTTTGTTTCAGGAGCTCATTATGCCAAGAAGTAAAGAAAAGAAGAGAAGACCGCGACCTTTAAAAGTCAATGAAGAGAATGCTGTTCGTGAAGTTTTAAATTCAAGTCTTTTAATTCGTTCCGCAGCGAGCAATTTGGAAATGCAAAGTCTGCATTAGCAAGACACATTAAAAATGTTAAAACATCAGGTCAAAACAATTTTATATACAGTCCGAATTATAAAGTCAGCCAAGTTTTTAATGAAGCCGATGAAACGGAGTTGGTAAACTATTTAAAAACAGCTGCTAGAATTCATTATGGCCTAAGTTTGATAAACGTTAAAAAACTTGCACATAAATATGCAAAGCAAAATAAAAAAATATATCCTGCTGGCTGGGACGATACAAAAGAAACAGGAAAGAATTGGCTTAGAGGTTTCCGAAATAGACATTTTGCATCTCTGTCACTTAGGAAACTCGAGAGTACAAGTTTGGCCAGAGTAACTGCATTCAATAAAGAAACAGTTGCTATTTTCTTTCAATCATATAAAAATGCGTTGAGTAAAGGAAACTTTGAACCATCAAAAATTTTTAACGTCGATGAGACGCGTATTACGCGACCTCCTAAAATTTTAGCACCAAAAGGACAAAGGCAAATACGAGGAATGATATCTGGAGAAAGAAGTGTTCTAGTTACTGTGATATGTTGTATTAATGCTGCTGGAAATACTGTACCGCCTTTATTTGTGTTTCCGAGAGCGAATTTTAAAAGGCCTGTAGCAATAGGCAAATCTGAGTGGATGGTCCAATGAAGATGTATTTTTTTAATTTCTAGAACATTTCATATCACATGTTAAACCTACTGTGCAGAATAAGGTTATTTTATTGTTAGATAACCATGAAAACCATATTTCCATACCCACTATTAACTTGGCAAAACTTTCGGGAGTCATTTTAGTTACTTTTCACCCCCATACATCACACCGATTGCAACCTCCCGATTTATCTGTTTCTGGACCCTTTAAGTCTTTCTACAATAATGTAATGACTAATTGGATGAGTTCTCCTGGTAACGCAGGGAAACCAGTTACCATTTACGACGTAGCAGACTTGGCAAATACGGCATACTTGAAGGCATTTAGTCCAAACAATATAACCAAGGGCTTTCAAGTATCAGGTCTATACCCATTAAACAGTGATATTTTTACTGAACAAGACTTTTTGCCATCTAACATAACCGATCGAGAGGATCCATATTTACATAACCCTTCATGTTTATTCTGACCCCGATCCACCGCATTGTGAAGCTTCCGAAACAGACCCTAAGCCTTCATGTTCTGGTTTAACGTCATCTTACACACCGGAAGCTAAGTTGGATTTTCAAGAAACAATTCCTGTTATGTCAAGTTTTATTTCACCATATGAGATTCGTCCCATTTTCTAAGTGAAAATAGAAGTTGAAAATAGTTCCCTAGGAAAGGGAACATTTTTAAGTGTCGCAAAAAAGGAAGGTCTCCATTCTTACCGACACCCCAGAATTTAATGAAATAAAAGAAAATAATCAAGACAGTACGAAAAAGAAGCGCAAAAAGGAACTGCAAAAAAAGTAAAACGTAAGTTAAATATTGGAAACACGTCGTCAGAAGAAGATCAAATTGATTTTGAGATTAGAAGTGACAGCAGTAATTGTAATGATAATTATTTGTCAGATTTAGAAATTGATTCCATTCAATTTACTCCAGATGATCTTCAGAAAGGTGATTTCATTTTGGTGCACTTAAAAGGAAAAAAGCATTCATGATAATATATTTTGTAGCCGCAATATCAGGAAAGGTGGACTAAACAGAGTTCCAAATAAAATATTTAAAGAAAGCTCATTCCTTTGCACATAGCTATTGGGACCGTGCAAGTTCGGAACAGCGACACCAGCGAACACCTGGTGTCGTAAATCAGCAAAATTTACTGCGCTTTCATGTTAGATCGAGGTTACCGGATAACTGTCAAGGAAGTGGCCCCAAAAAAGAATACGAAGAAAAAGTAAGATTGAGGTTATGTCGGTATGTTATTAAAACGTAAACGTTGATGTAGCGTAAATACAAATAAAGATATTATTGAATTACAACATTACTGTTAATATGGATGCAATAATAAAAACTGGATTTGAGAAAGTAAATCACCAAATAACTTTTCAACCAAGCACTGATTCAAAGGGAAAAGCTTTAATAGTGGCAAATGTCAAAAAAGAATGGAAGAATTAAGAAAAATAAATTACCATAAATAATGCTAATGCATAAATGCATAAATTAGCAAGTTAAGCCCATGATATCATCATATTGGTTTGAACAATTAAGTCTTTCCCTGTAAACTTTTGGACAGCGAATATATCTTAATGCATCTTTAGAAAAACTTGAACTTGATGCATTCTTGTAAACTTCAAAAAAATAAAATTTAAACATTAAGCTTGATTTTTGGGTTAAAATGAACTTTAAGTGAGTGTTATGGAACTAAAATTTACACTTAAAAGTGAACTTTTATTTATTATTTATTTCAAACTGACTTTAAAATCAGGCGCAAGAATAATGCATAATTTAGGTTATGCTTTTTTATGATATAAATCCACTTTTCTCTTTGTAGTAGCTTTGTGCTTCGAAGTTGGAAACGAATAAAACTTAAATTGACAATTTTTTGTTGTATTTTTACAATTTATAACACAGCATTTCCTAAATCCCATTTTCTTCAGTGACAGAAGGTGTAAAAAAACAAAACGTATATGAAATATGACAATTGATAATATGAATTTATGAAATCTATGAAATGTGCAGTAAAAAATGCAAGATTTCTCCGCTACTTGCGCACGATCGTTTCTCGTATCCCCTCCAAGTACTTGCACGTCGCCAATACATTTACGGTTGAAGATGAAGAGAAATAATATACAACTAACATCAGCGATATTATACAAAAACTTCCTCAACCACGTACAGCAGGTTCATCCTCTCGACAATCAAACACACATTTATCTTTTCAATATCTTTTGATAAAATTAATTTAGGATAGTCTGTGTATTATTAGCAGTTTATATTTTCAATAAAATTTTCACGAATATTAGAAAGTATTTTCGTTTTACACATTAAATTCTTTTTGTACAAGTACTTCAACTCATGTTCCTAGGTACAACTCTTCGTGTGCGTATGGACTCTTCGTTCTACAACAGACCGATTGTTCCTAGGGACACGTACATACATACAAAAAAGTTGGAAAATTGGCATTTTCGAATTGGCTTTACAAAGGTATAATCAACTGTCCAGATTTTATTATTTTTTAATTTATCTTATTTTTCTAATTTATAAAAATCAAATTGAAAAAATTGTCCCTAGGTACAACATGTTCCCCTATATCAGATATGTGCATCCAGAGCTCTTCCAATGGTTCAATTAAAACCAAACACTTAAGAAAATAACATTTATTGCTGAAAAATTGTAATCACAATAAAATCTTACGCTCGAGATCATAAATGTTTATAAAAAATACTTCTTTCTATATGGCAAAACTGAAAAGTTCGTATAAAGCTTTGTATAACTATATTACACTAAAAATAAATAAAAATATAAATAAGGTACAAATGACTCGATTCGTCTGGATAAGGCAAAATTTATGTACAGCCTTATATTAAGTCTCTTGCCGAAATTATTGAACATCATTATAAGTTGTGACTAAAATAAATTGATAAAACTTATTTTCTCGAATGCCCACAGTTTAATAACAATGCATCAATTATTCAATTTTTCCTCGTATCAATTACGTGACTTGTAATGGTAAACACAGGTAATATTTTATACCTGCGGTTAACAATAATTAGATAGGTGAACTAATCTTGATTTCAATAGAAGTTGCAAATAAATGACCAGGGTTTTTTATAATTAAGAATGATCCAACATGTTTGCTAATTATAACAGTGCATGTTGTACTTTTCTATCAAAAATAGAATTGCACTGCTACGTGAATATAAAATGAACACTTCTTCTTCTTAACATGCCATACACCAAAGTGCGTAGGCGACTATCTCATTACTAGAATTCTGTTCTTGGCGACGTGACACAGCTCGCCTGTATTGTGTATTCCTGTCCATTCTTTAATATTCCTTAACCAGGATAATTGTTTGCGGCCGGCTCCGCTCCTACCTTCAATCTTCCCCTGTAGGATTAACTGTGGTATTTCATATTTTGCTCCTCTTAATGTGAAGCATTTTGACTAATAATGTGAATAAATGAACACTACGTTTTGTCAAACATTGACATCAAAAGGATAAGCTTAAACTAAATTTATAGTGGTTTAGTTTTTTTGTGATGTTCAATAATTTCGAAGACTTGTTTATTAAAACGTCCCAAACTTAAAATTAGGTTCAATAGGCAACTTCAGCACCCCAAGGTCGGTACGGCTTCATTCCCTGTGGCGTGGGAATACTTTGGCTATAATTTTGGTGATGACTGGACGTAGGAATACTAAAGGCATTGGGAGGGTATTGGTGAGGACTATATGCTAGAGCAGAAGGTGTTGTGGTAGTTAAAGGTGTAAGGATTGACGTTGATGGTGGGAGTCTATTGCTGTCCGAAGTGGCTACAGGCACCGTCGTCTGAGCACAAGACGTCGATACATCAAAGTGTCCCAAGTCATGATGTAGGTTTTGAGGAGGCGGTGGAGGAGGTACTTGGTGATGGTTTATATTTGACAGTGGACCGTTGTTCGATGCAGGAGAAGGTGGTAAGGTGTTTAATGGGGGGTAAGGTGGTTGCGAGGCTGGATAACCCCACGGAGCTGAGGTAGTTTGTTTAGATGCTAACTCTCTTTGAGCCGCACAACATTGAAGGTGCGATGTGAGCCTTAGCCGCAAAGGATTTTGTACATCTAGGCCTTCAATTCGTTCTAAATATCGAGCCACTTCTGCTACGCATTCCCGAAAGCCCATCCCATGGTAGTCCATCGCATATTTGTGGGGGTCGTAGGCAAAGGAATCCAAACCTGTAAAGAATAAGAATTATTAGAGATGTTAAATTCATTTACTTAACTAGGAATATTAAAAAATTGTGAAAATAGCTACAATTATCTGAAGCGAAAGTACGCCTATATTTGCGAATATAAATAAATGTTAATATACATTTCTATCGCTTTTGGATCTTTTACAGGGCAAAGAAGGCAAATAAAGAAAGCTTATTAGCATTAATGATATTTTGTTTTTAGTTTTTTGCATAAATAAGTGGAGTTTGTGAACTCTCTTCAAACTCAAGTTATTCGTAGAATAACTGGAAAATAGAGAAAGAAGCGATGGAATATATGCAAGATCTTAGATATAATAAATAAGTGGGTAAAGGAAAGACAAAAGGGCAAAATGAACATATTAACAGAATGGAAGAAGTATGAAAAAGAATAACACTAAATAAAACACCAGTGGAATTAAAGACTTATCCTGCAGCAGATGTTAACTCAGACTACAATCCGTTAGTTGCTGACGTGAAAATAAAATTAAAAAGATTTGAACTCAGAAAACAACAACCAAAAATTAATGAAAGAATGCTAAAAAATTAAGAAATAAAAAATAATGTGAATGTTAATATGCAAAATCACTATCTGTTGGCCGAAGGCAGAACTCATGGTTAAAGAATCTACGTGATTGGTATCAATGCAGATCGATTGATTTGTTTAGAGCAGCAAGTTCTAAAATAAAAATAGCCATTATGATTGCCAACCTCCGTAGGGAGACGGCACTCTAAGAAGAAGAAAGTCTTAAAAGGATACTTGCTGGGCGAGACAGATAGACCATCATCATCACAGTCATTAACATCTTAGTAGATGTGTTGTGGTTCATAATTGGGCTTCAGCAGCTCGGACAGTTTGATTGATAATATTTCTCCACTGGTCGCGGTCATCAGTTATATGTATTGCCTCAGTATACTGTTTATTGAGAAGCTTTTTAGTAATGTCCGCCCATCGCTGTGGAGATCTTCCGCGTTGGCGTTGAGTCTGAGGCCTTCCTTGGACCACCAACCGCTCCATTTTGTGATCACTTCGATGGATATGGCCAAAGAATTTTAAAATTCTAGAGTAAACGGTACTGGAGAGACGCTGATCCGGTTTAATTTCATCCAGAACCGAGATATTTGTACGGCGAGCCGTCCATGGAATTCGAAGCAGGTGTCTCCATGTCCACATTTCAAAGGCGTCTATACGTCGTCGATCTGATTCTTTGACTGTTCATGTCTCGTATGCATAGTAAAATATGGAAAAGACCAGAGTTGAAACGAGTCTCTTTTTGTTTGTCATAGTAATGTGACGATCACGCCAGACCCCGTTTAGTTCACTCATTGCTGCTCTTGCTAGTTGAATGCGTCTTCTAATTTCGGATTCACAACTGCCTGTGTTGTTAACTAGAGCTCCAAGATATATTATAGATGAGACTACCTCGCATCCCGCAATAGTTTGGGTTTCAGGAAACTGTTGTTGGCGATCAATAACCATGATTTTGGTTTTGTTGTAGTTAACCATGAGTCCAAATTTAGCACTTTCTACCTCGAGTTTTTTTAATATTTGAATAATTTCTTCTGGAGTAGAGGCTAGAAGTGTAGTGTCGTCTGCGAAACGCAAGTTAGATATCTTAACACCACCTAGGTTTACTCCTCCCTCCCAACCATCCAAAACTCTGCGCATTATGAACTTCGAATAGATGTTAAATAATAAGGGAGATAAAACGCATCCTTGGCGTACTCCCTTCTCCAAAGTGCATTTGTCAGAGAGATATCCGTCCATTCGAATATATGCCAGGTTATCTTGATACAGTTTGCTAATAAGGTGAGTCAAGTGTTTAGGTACACCCATTGTCGTCAATATGTTCCATAGTTTGTCCCATCTAACATTATCAAAGGCCTTTGTATAATCGACGAAACATATAAATATCGGGATCTGGTATTCTCTGACTTTTTCTATGATGTTTCGTACATTAAGGATTTGTTCTCTAGTACCTCTGCCCTTTACAAATCCAGCCTGCTCAGGTGCTATTTGCCAACTTATGAAGTTTTCTAGACGCCGTTGCAGTATGTAGAGGATCACCTTACTGGCGTGTGATATTAGAGCTAATAGCCTGTAGTTGTTACAATTATTTGTTGAACCTTTCTTATGAAGAGGTATGATTATGGTCTTTCTCCAATCCTCAGGCCAGACGCCTGTGTGCCATATTTCATTGCACAATCGATGTAATATTTTCACTCCACATTCCGGAAGATGCTTCAAGACGTCTGCAGTAATGAGATCATATCCTGCTGCTTTGTTTAACTTAAGTCTTTTTAAAGCGAATTCCACCTCGGAAAAAAGTATGTCAGGTTCAGACTCAAAACTAGTGTGGTGTGTCTCTGTTGAAGGAGAATGGAAAGTGGAGATAGACCATACGTTACTCTAAGAAGAAGACGGAGTTAACGAGGTTGCAACGGTAACTTAAGTACAGTGAAGGCATGTGTATGAAAAGGGAAAAAAAGACAATTTGTCCAAAATCGATAAAAAGTAGAACAAATAGCTTAATAATCTTATTAAATTAAATTTTTAAATAAATACTTTCAGTTTTATTTACATTTACATTATTTACATTACATGCAAAAGCATAGATAATTTAAGAAAATAATTATATCCAAACATAAATTCATTATAATGTATTTTAGGAAATATTTAAAATACAGATAGTTTAGGAATGTAGTGTATATACAATAAACGATTTAGCCAACAGTCATTCAGGTAGCAGGTGAATACGAAATTAAAGGGTTTAACCTAGAGTTTAATGCGTGGGAATATGCGATGAACCAGCTGTGACAAACATAAACCCCTAGACCGTAATAACTAGCGGTAGTGGGGACACCCGTGGGAACCCTCGAAAATAACACCGATTCGCTGAACGGCTACATACATCTGCAACAGGTTTCACTCCCCCTCTCCACTCACTACCCTTATCGATAATTTACATTCTTTTATTGTTTATCGGCTTTTCACTGAGCGCGGACCCCTCGGTTTGCTGTTGCCAGCGATAAAACAAAAATTGTTATGTATGTTTTTAATTAAACATGGGATCATTGACATTTACTGACCGGACGGGAAATTTTCGTTACGCAGAAAAAGTTAAAATATGTTTGAATCATACTTTCCAAACACTTTATTAAAATTGATTTAAAATTTTACTTAATCATAGGATAATTGCATAAAAATTTTCACATACACCAACCGCTATACATTTTTATATGATTTTGAGTTTTTTATTTGTTAGGCTTTTTATTGGACTAGAATTTCTATTCAAAAATCCACGAGAAAACATGAAAGTTTATTTAAAGATCTATTAGAAATCCCATGGAAAAAATCAGAGCATTTGATACATTTAAAAAAGTTTAAAATGTGTTTGAATGGTTTTGTAAAATAGGTTTATTGAAAATCATTTATAATTTTAATTGATAATAGACCTGTTTTATTTTTTTTTATTTTTCTTTTGACAATTGGAAATTGACAAGAAAAAACGAAAATTTTCTGAGAACTAACTGAGGACTGTTACCTATAGAGATTATATAAATAAAATTAGAGGACATGATACCATGTATCAAACAGAAACTATCCGATTTATCAAATTATATATAACGCTGATAGATTCAAAATGATGGCTATCCAATTTTCAACAATTTTCTCTTTAATCTCGCTATCTTTTATCGACCATATATGTGCTTTTATCAATATTATAGGTAACGTTTACTCATTTATGTTTTTTAAATGTCCCATTCATAATTTCGCTTTTCAGCTATCGAAGATCATTCAAATAATCTCATTATCTCATCATTGGTTATCTACTTTTTTAATACCTCCAAAAATTCTTCTTAAAATGTTTCATTCTCATATATTGCCTTTTTGTAGTTAGTTTAGCTTACATATTGGACTGCCGGCTTCATCACTGTCCGTTTCTTCCGTTATCTTCCATTTCAATAAGTTTTTGTTCCAATCTACATTTATATAGGTTTCTAACACTTTCTTGGTGTAAACTATTCAAATTGTATCGTACTTCTGGTACTTGCTCCTTTGTATGGTATCTTGCGGCATTTTCTGTTCTCTTTTACGTGGAAATGAAATATCTGAACGAAGGAGGTAGTGGTCAGGTAGTATCGAGTGGTTAACCCGATGCCCCAACCCCCAACTTGAGGATCAGAGTTTGATTTTGTTGCTTTCACTCCAGCTTAAGAGTATCATCTGCCCTATTCATTAATATTTGTTTATTACTCAATATAATCTTCTCGATCTAACTAAAGTCGTCGTAGGAAAGATGGCCAAAATATGAAAGAACTCTCAAGTTTCACAAACTCTAAAAATCAAGTTTATCAACTGCTTAATATTCCAAATAGTGACATACAGATGTGAATCGTCGACCCTATGAAAAGCCGAAAGAAGAAAGATAGATGCCACTGAAATATTATTTTTGAGAAGAATTTTGCGAATCCCGTAGACCGACCCCAGAACGAATAATTCAATTTTAAATGAGCTAAAGTATGCTAGTGCTAATGACAGCAAACGGTTCTCCAAAAAACGTCCTTCTCCAACAATTAAAATACTTTGGACATGATATGAGAGCAGTCACAGAATACATGGAAAGATAGAAGACCGAAGATCGCGAGGAAGATCACCAACAAAATGGATGAACCAAATTACAAGAATATGCAAAAGACCTATGCATGAGTTAAAAGAAATGTCCAGAGACAGAGATTTTTGGATATGGACAATGCACGATTTCACGATGACAACTACAATCCCTCCGGGGGGTCAGGATTGAAGAGCGAGATAATCTTCCTTTATATCATAAAAAATAAGCTATATTTACTGTATTTCTTCTATGATGGTGGTTGTTCTGTTCATGAGATGTCTTATTCTTTCATTTGTTATGTGCACCATTCTCGATATACCTGCTGATCTGCACCAAAAATCCATTTCCAGAACAAGGAATTTTTGTTCCGTTCTCTTAGTGAGTTTTGCATCCATAAAGTACAATGCTTTTAAAAATGCTTGATGGACTCAGAAACTACTGCAATGAAGACTAAAGACAGATAAACGAGGCAGAGCCAGATATTACCTACACGATGACCGGATAGTTTAAGAAAAATAAGGAAAAGCTGAGCTACAAACAGCAGAGAACCGAGAAATTTTGCTAAGCAACCTCTTTTCCTTCACAATATTTTCCCACTGATGGCACGCTAGTTTTGACTACAGTTTTAATTTTTTTTTGTGTCAATTAACTGGTGTTGTTAGTTTTATATACTTAAACTTACTTTCGTTAAAGTCAAGGGTAACTTTTCTGTAGATTTAAATATACTATTCACTTAATATATGACATATTGTATAACGTGATCTGTAGCTTTGGGAGTGCGAAAAAGTACCCATCCATGATAGGAAAAAAGTCTGGATAAAAAATTCAAAACAACACTAGAAAAATATATCGGTCAAGAACATGGAAAAATATATATTGGACTAAGCTCAAAGTCATAAGAGGCTTTCTTACTAGACATGTGCCAATCAATGGGTTGTGTCTTGGAGACTTAAACATCAGACTCTATATCAGAGAACCTACACCATATCCTCCCAAACTGCGAGGGATCAGAACTCAGGGGGCAAATACTTTTTGGAAACTACAGGGTTCAAGAATTCTGGAATGGGTATCATGAATAAATGGAAGATGTCCAATATACCAATTGGCTGCAATACGACCACATAACTTACGGCTTCCGAAAAAAAAGCCAATAGCTGATAGCTCTTGTTCTTAAAGTTTCTGCTCCGTTTAATTTACTTTTAAGACAAAAATTGTGTTTTTGTTTACTTCCAACGCTGTCAGAGGGTATTATCTTCATACTTACGTCTATATCTGTCATTTTTACCTACAACCGTTTAGTTTTAGCCTCCCTTCAGATTTTTCGCCACGCTTTGCGGTCTATTAAAGCTCTTTCCAATGCAGTACAGATATATTGAGCTCCTGGAAGTCCCTTTTGATGTTGTCAATTAGTCTTTGTCGCGGACCACCCTGTGGGCGCTTTCCAACTGGCGTCGATGCAGCTATATTTCTGGTAGCTCCCTCATTACCACTTCTTAGGACTTAACCCATCCATGCAAGTATCCGGGATCTTTTTATGCTTGTTATTAGGCGTTGTTCTTTTTTTAGTGTTCGGCACCATTCTTCGCAACCGTATAATAACACTAATGCTATAATAGTATTATAGATTCTTCGTTTTAGATTTTTTGACTGTAATTTTGATTTCAGCATTTTGTTTAAAGTTCTCTCAGCCTTATTTCCCGTTGATAGTTCCTCTTCAACTTCATTGTTGCTCGTCAGCATTCAGTACTTGAAGTTCTTCAACCTCTTCAGATGGTCCTCATCCATCGATATCGAATTAATGTCAGAATTATCTCGGTTTCTGCGTCACACTTCCATGAAATTGATGATGATGATTTTAACTGATGATAAATTACTGCAATACGGTGTCTATTTTGTTCTCCATAATGTTTAGCTCGTCAGCATATGTCAATATTTTGTCCTGCCTGACACCGAATAGAATTCGACGTTGTGTATATTGTATCTTACTAACGACCCATTCTAGAACAATGTTAAATAGAAGTGGAGATGGAAGGTGTTCTTGTCTTATTAATCTTCTGTCATAGTCGAAAACTTCGGTGATCTGATACATGCTTTTGTCATCAATTTTTCAGGAAAACCATGATCTTTCATTATCCTCCATAAACTTTTCCTCTTAATAGTGTAGTAGAATTCATGAATAGGTTGAGGACATCTAGATAATATTCCCATCGTTTTTCCAAGAGTTCTCCGATGCAAAAAATTTGATTTCTGGCTCCTCTATTTTGATGAATCGACATTGGTATTCACCAATGTTATTTTGATCTATTAATCAAGACTTATGTATATATGTGCAAGAATGGAAGAATCCAAATTAAAAGGCAAACATTTATATTGATCCAAGATTGTAACTTTACTTATAACGTTCAATGGAAAAGAAGCAGCTGAGGTAGACAAACTCAGAAGATGTCATAAATCACAGTAAAATATATAGGAATATGGCTAAATTATTAGTATAAATGAAGCAGTTCGATTAAATCGTAACATAAAATTAATTGTTTTTTTTTTTCAACCTAACAGAACCTAAAAACATAATTTTTGTGTAAACTGCTTAGCAAATTATTAATTACAGTCGTACAAACTATTTAAAACATAATTTGAAAGTTATAATCAAAACCAGTTCCTCTTTATCGTTTATTTATAGTAGTGCAATTATTTAAATTAGTATTTCTGTAAATTATTATTTGAAAATAAAGATTTTTTATACATTTGTCCCATATAAAACATCGTTGCGAATTTAAAATTGTGTACACAATGTTCCACTGTAAAATTCTACATTGTGCAAAATATTCACAACTCACACATGTCCTTCAAGACGAGATAAACGATATATTAGGGATGTTAAAGTCAAAAGTCCAGGCGCATATGGTTTTAAAATCGTAGGGGTCAGAAATCAGGGGCCCATATTGATATTTCGATGGTTCTGGAATTTCCTCTTTGGCAATCATTCGGGAAATATACAAGATGTTTCATAAGTTATATAAATGATATAACTGCTTTTTGGTCACCAATATTTTGAGTATTATTGGATTTGTACCCTCGTAAATGATTTTTTTTACTTTACGCAGGTAATCTTTCCACACAATATTATAGAAAAATCTTAGTTGGTATAAAAATAAAGATTAAAAATAATTCAAAAACTATTAAATCACATATCCTAATGAAAAACCTTGTATACAGTGAAACTATCCATTATTAATATCTTCTTTATTTTCAGAAAAGAGTTTGTATTATTAGTTCTTACCTTTCGCATGCAGCATCTTTAAATGGTCCACTGTCATCTGCAAAATCTCCGCTTTTTCTAGCTTGGCAGATCCTTGCTTTTCAAAAGCACTAGGCACTAATCTTTTCAACTCGCTTAAAGACATATTAATTCTGTCTCTTCGCTTTTTCTCTATCACTCCTCTTCGCTTTTTCCTGGATAACATTTGACAACTGTCAGCATCACCTGGACTCGTGCACCTGAAAATATATATTTATAAATAAAGCAGTCTACAAACAATTAGGCAAGCATATGAGTGTACATTCTAACAATTATAAATTTGTTTGTTTGGCCCATATAAAGTATACAGTTTCAGTATTCTTTAAACATTTTTGTGAAACTGTATTACTGTAATAGTAATAGAATTTAGAAATTAACAGATAAGATTTTTAAAGTTGGATGATTGAGTAATAAAATTCGAAAAATTACTCAGAAATATTATCTTCGATTTGCTGTTCATTAATTTAATAGTTTAATTGGTTGTCATAAACAAAAAAGTTTATGAACGAATTTTAAAAAATCAAATTAATCTACATTTTGAATCTAATAAACTGTTTGCCATAAACCAGTACTGATTCCGAAAAAATAAAACAACAACTTTAGCAATTGATAATTTCACTAGCAATGTTTTGGAAGGGTTTGAGAAATATCTTGATACTCTTGCATCGTTTTTAGATCTTACTGAGGCTTTTGATTGTGTCACACATAGTATTCTGCTTAGAAAACTTTCTTATTATAATTTTCATAGTGATACTATTCAACTAATTAATTCATATCTATCAAATCGTGATCAATATGTTCACTTTAACCAGTGTGATTCTCAAAAACAATCTTTGTTGTCTGGTGTCCCTCAAGGCTCGGTTTTGGGTCCAGTATTATTTCTTATATATATTAATGATCTAGTGTACTCTCAAAATGAAACAGTCAACACTGTTTTATTTGCTGATGACACTACTTTCTATGCAAGCTATCATCCTTCTGAATTCGACACCCTTGATTACCAAACATCTGAAAAAAACTTATTCAATTGGTTTCTAACTAACCGTCTTTCTTTGAACAACTCTAAATCACAAAGTGTTAATTTTACTCTAAGAAATAACACTTGTGTCGAAAACGTTGCTCTACCATAACGTGTAACCGGAGAGAAGTTTCTGGGGATATATTTGGATGCAGGATTAACCTGGGAACAACATACAGTTAATCTATCGAAAAAGCTTTCCCGACAACTTTTTCTCTTCAGGAACCTTGTACAAGTGACTTCCAGGGAAACTATTTTAACAGCTTATCATAGTAATTTTCATTCTCATCTGACATATGCTATTCTCTCCTGGGGTCACTCTTGTCATATCGACAAAGTGTTTGCACAACAAAGAAAGTGTGTTCGTATTATCTCTGGGCTCTCTTATAGAGCAGACTGTAGAAACTCCTTTAGAGCTTTAAAAATTTTAACTTTACCTTGTGTATACATTATGCAGTGTCTGTTGCACATTAAACAAAATCTTAGCCAATACAATGCGCAGGCAGATTTTCACAATTATCCCACCAGATTTAACAATAATCTTATACCAGAATTTAGCCGTCTTGAGAGATCCAGAAATTGTTCAAGGTATTTAGCCATAAAATTCTACAACTTAGTGCCAGCTAAAATAAAGGCTCTTAATTTTCATCAGTTTAAGGCAAAAATTAAGAGTTTCCTTATAGTGAATGCTTTTTTTACATATGAGGAGTATTTTAGTTCCAATTTTAATTTGTTGTAATTGTTAACAGTATAATTTAAAACAATGTATCTATGTTTTGTGTTTATATTTATGTGTGCATATTAACTATATTGACATTTACTTTATTTTATTTGACTTTTAAAAAATACTTATGTATTAATTTATTACCAATAAACCATCTATCTATCTATCTATCTATCTTAAAATACGCAGGCGACACCGTCATTATTGCGGACAGTGCTGAGGGTTTACAACGACTTTTGAATGTCATAACCAGAGAGGGTGATAGCTTGGGACTAAATATAAACACATATAAAACAAAAGTAATGGCTTTTACACGTGCACCAAATATCGATATTAATATTCGTATCTATAACAAACATATAGAACCATTACAAAGATTCCAATATCTTGGTTGCTGGATAACAAACGATCGTGACCACGAGGTCGAAATACGTGCTAGTATAGAATATGCTAATGAAAAAATTTCTAATAAATTCTACGTTATCGTTGGATATCCGATACCAATTTGTAAAAACGTTTATTTATTCCATATTGCTATATGGAGTGGAAACATGTACTCTCGGAATTACCAGTATGAGGCGTATAGAAGCCTTTGAGATGTGGGTTTTTCGAAGGATGCTGAAGATCTCTTGGACAGAGCACGAGATCAACAACGAGGTGCTAAGAAGAATGGGTACTAAGAGAGAATTCCTAAATATTATAAAAAACAGAAAAACGAGTTATCTAGGACATATTTACAGAGGAGAAAATGGAAGGGAAAGTGGAAGGAAGAAGAGGTCCAGGAAGAAGAAAATGCTCCTGGTTAAAGAATGTTAGAGACTGGACAGGCATGGACACACATTCGATACTAAGAACAGCCCAAGATAGAGAGCAATTTGCTGTAGTTATAGCCAATCTTCAGTAATGAAGTTGGCACCTTTAGAAGAAGATAGAAGGCTCGGGATATTTGGGTCTCTAGACGTGTCATCACAGGCACAGTACGCATAATACAGAGTGATAGAGTGGACCCGTCCTAAAGGGTCTAAGTATCTGAAGTAATCTCTTGAAAAAATTAAAAGAGATCTGCTCCGTATATCCTGAAGTAAGGAAATAAATTGCACCATGAGATTGCATCATTAAAAAGGTGAAATTGATATATCTTGGAGACAATGATTGGGAACGGAAATGCAGTGCCAGTTTTTTTGTGTAATATGTAGTCATTAATACATGACGTCATCGATATTTTTTTAACAGAAGTGCATAGGTATATTTTTTCCATTTGTTAATTCTCCAATAACAGACGATTACAAAAATATGTAACAATTTTATTCCAATAAAAAAAAATTGTGTTTTTTTCCAATAAAATTGATACATTTCTGTATCGAAACAGTGAAATGAATAATTGAAAAATCTTGATGTGCATCATTACGTAAATTACAAACATCTTGTTTGGTTCAGCACCATACCCAAACATTATTACAATCTCGATTATATATTTTTTACTTAAATGTACTATTGTTAAGGAATTCAATAAGCATTGTTTGACATTGGTAAAATTAATATAAACAGAACGATAATACTAAAAATCTATCATATTGTTATTACTCCAGTTCATATGTTTGCCCCCAATTCGGAAACCAATGAAATTGCACTGAAAGTGTTAAACATTTGTGTAATCTCCTGTTATTGGAGAATTCAAAAATGGAAACAAATATTATTCTATTAAAAATTCGATGAAGTCATGTATGCGAAAGTGGTAATGTCAATAATAGATTAAATTGTAGCAAACATGGCGCAGTTGGAAATAAAAATTGACTTGTAAAAGCATTTTGTCAAAATAGTGTTAAATAAAAAAGTATTAAATTTATTCAAAACTTATCGTCCCCACTGTATATATACAATTTTCTTACTATCTTTACAATTTGCAACCTGAGAGCATTTATTCATGTCGAGTATTTTCACAATTTCACTTGATTTGGTAATTTTTTATTTGATTTCTTACTACTTAGTACCATTGTGCGAAATGCGTCAACGAATATTTTGTATTGTACATTAAAAATTGTATAAATGTTCCGGCGAGTAAAAATATAGATCACTTTGAAGTATTGGAAAAGTATCTTAGGGATTTCAAGCAGTATAGCAAAATAAGGTATAAAAGTCATTATTGATTATTGTTTTTCCGTTAATGTTATTTAAATGTTAAATTTCTTGTCTTTTTAAATAAATGTCAAAATAAATAATAGAAATAATAATGTTTTAAGCTTGAACAGTCAGTTTAGCTTGAACAAAATAAAGTGTTAAAATCAAATAAAAAAATAAATATGTAATTTCTATATAATTATTATAAAATTGCTGTTTAAATAGGCCCAAATAAACAGTTTCTTAAATTGAAAGTTAAAAATTTCATTGTGTATTAAACACATGTAAATGATTGCCATATATTTATTAATTTCAATGTTACACACCGAGATGAATAATTCAAATATACTGAATAGAAATGATTATTTGGACAACAAAAATTGACTTTAAAGTCAAAATTGTAACTAACTTTATATAAATCTTTAGCAGTTAATATCTGAAATGTAAAAATTGTTTGCATTTTATATGGGGCAGACTAAATGATTATTTATTTGACGATAAAGAAACATGTAGTGGATTGTATATTTAGTATACTTGGACTTACTGTTCTTTTGAGGATTCTTCGGAGTAAACATCATCACAGTCACTTTCGGACAGAGGCCTTTTGGCACCTCTTGAGACAGGCTGCCAAGACGAAGCCGCACTGTTACCGGCGGAGTATCCCCACTGTAAAGGAGTGTGTTGAGATAAAGAGTGATCCATGTCCAAAAAATAGGTCACTATCACTACCACTTGTGTCTAAAGATGAAGATCGGAAATAAGGCGCGTGCCAAACGGCCGTCGGTAGATTCACGCGCGTGTGTTACTGTCGTTCGCAAATGCGGAATGTGTACAGCCCTGTTGATCAACCAACGTTCAGCCACGTTTTTACCCCCACTTTACCCCCACTAGAAGACCAGTCCACGCGACTTGTTCCTTTTAGTTTGCGCTACTCACCCCGATATTATATACTGTATCCTTTTTCCTTTTCTTTAGTATTAGTACAGAACCGATTCCCACGATTTTCGGGGGTGTGGTAAGCGTGCACTTACGCGTGGTGTATGGGCCGCAAAAATAGGGGTGGCCCTCCGACCGTTCGCTAGTAGCCAATAAATATTATTCCGATTTTTCTATTACTTTCCAATTCGTGTGCGGTATTAATAATTAGGTCTTTTTGAAACAATATAATTTGATTTTTAATTACACCTCTTTATTGTATATTATAGTAAAGTAAGGACATTTTTATAATAACAAACGGTAATATAATATAAGTTTAAAGAAAAATAATAAATACTCCGAAAATATAATAAGAAATAGAAAATATTGAAATATATGATATAATATAGTGTTCTTTGAATCATAGATCATTGCTCTTCTTGAGTCGTCTTATTAGATGGATATTATCAAGAAGCTTCTTCTTCCTCTTATTCAAGTTCCGCTCCTATTGGAGAGTGGAAATCATTGTGGCAATTATAATTTTGTTGACTATGTGCCTGAATAGTTCAATTGAACTGCATCTAAACCATTCACGGAGATTGCGTAGCCACGAAATTTTACGTCTTCCTACGCTTCTTCTGTCTTTGATTTTACCCTGCATTATATTCCTTAGTAGTTCGTATTTTTCACCTCTCATGATGTGCCCCAAGTATTCCAATTTCCTGATTTTTATGGAATTTAAAACTTCGCATTGTTTTCCTAGTTGTTCGAGAACTTGTTCGTTTGTTTTGCGATCCATCCATGATATTTTCAAAATACGTCGGTAACACCACATTTTGAATGCTTCTAGATTTTTAATGTTGGATTTTTTAAATGTCCAAGCTTTATCCCCATACAAAAAGGTAGAGAAAATATAACATCGAAGCATTCTTATCCGGAACGATATATTGATATCGCGATTACAAAAAAGTTTTCTCATTCTATTAAAAGTTGACGGTGCAATTTCAATGAGCGGTAATTTCATCTTATTTCTTTTGTCTGATCAGTATCTTCTGTGATCCAAGCTCCATGACATTTCAAGACATGACTCATTAAGGCTATGGTGCGATGTTCATTGCACTCCCTTGCATTGGCTATTTTGGGAAGCAGTATGAATGTTGATTGGAGCCATTCTTTAGGTATTATACCTGTTCTATATATATGGTATTGAATATATCCAAAAGAAGATCAATAGATTGAGTATTCACAATTTTGAGTAATTCGATAGGAACTTCATCATGCCCGGGAGATTTACCACCTTTAGCTTCATTACATATTCAATTTCTTCGCGTATAATGTCAGGCCCAGTATCATCCTTAAATTCTTTTGGTGCGTCTGTTCTCTCTTTGCCTTCAAAAAGTTGTGCTATATATTGTGTCCATCTCTGCATTTTTTGGTTTATATCTGTTATAAGTGCACCGCTTTCATCTCTTGGTTGCCTAGTTTGAAGTGTTCTTCTCATTCCTGTTAATTCTCTAAATCTTTTATGCATGTTAAAAAAGTCATATTTTTTTTCAATTTCTTCTAGTTCTTGGCACTGCTCATGTAACATTTTCTCCTTAGGTTCTTTTATTTTCTTTTTAATTAATCGATCAGTTTCATTATATTTAATTGGATTTTTTTATTTTTAATGATTTTCTTTCATTCATTAATAGTAGTATTTCTTCAGTCATCCAGTCTGTATGTTTTCTTTTCTTTGGTTTTAAGTTTTAATTTGCTGTTTTAATTATTGCTACTTTTATATTTTTTCATTTCTAATCAATGTTACAGCTTCTTTTATTCAGTTCTTGTGCATTACGTAGATTACATAGAACAAACCCATTTTTGGGTTTTTTTTGTTTGTGGTTCCCTTAATCTCTTAATATCAATTCTAATTTGTATGGGTTTTTTAACCAGTTTCAATTTGGTTCGCAATGTGACTACTATGGGGTTATGGTCTGAATCGATGTCTGCTCCAGGGTCAGTTTTGGCAGACCATATAGAATTACGAAATCTTTGTCTAATGAGGAGAAAGTCAATTTGATTTCGGATTATTCTATTCATTGTATCACTTGGAGATTTCCATGTATGCAATCTTCTTTTTGGTAGCTTAAAAAGTGTATTAGCTATTACAAATTATTCCGTCTGGCAAAATAGTATCAAACGGTCACCTTGTTCATTTCTATTTCATAGACCATATTCCCCCACATATCCATCCACTCTTCCCTGGCCAACTTTGGCATTGAAATCGCCCATTACTATTGTAGTGTGATATTTCTTCATTGATTTTAAAACTTGTTCCAAATCATGGTAAAATAGTTCGATATAGTCGTCATCTTTATCTGCCGTAGGAGCATAAACTTGAATAAAATTTACTATACCTTCTTTAGACTGAATTTTGATTTGTCATTTATCATTTGGCATTCATGACTAAAGCTCGGATTATAGGCAAAATGCCTTTTTTTGCCTATTTTGCCTATTATAAGTGTTTTTTGCACTTTTTGCCTTTTTTCGTAAATTCCGCCTATTTGTGCCTTTTTTAAAATTTCATGGTACTACCCATGATATTATTCTATTACTAAACCATTCTATAATAAAATTTTGGGTCAATAATAAAATATCAATGGTTTGTTTATATAATAGATTTCTAGGAAAATGTACCTGATCGAGACTTGAGGGTTAACTATTTGGAAATCCCTAAGCTTTATTAGTTTATTATCAGTTGTACAGTCGGTTACTGTATCAGAGTTTACTCACAAATTAGCAAATTGCTATATCCTAGTTTAGTTTTGTTGCGTATACCGAAAAGCAAAGAACACGTTTTAAAACGTTCAAGACAGTTGTGTGAAAAGATGACATCTAAATTAAGGCTATGGATCGCACCTTATTCGGAACTTTCTCTAGAAGGAGATGGAGCATTTTGTAAACCATGCGGCAAATCGGTAAGTTTTATTTTTTTTTCTTTTTTTCTCGTCCCACAACATAACTAAATTCTAAAGCGGTTTTAGAATTCTAATTATTTTTTTTTAATTCTCAGATTTCAAGTAGAAAAAAGTACTTTATTGACCAGCATTGTGGAACCCCACTTCATAAACGTAATTTGGAAAAATTAAATTCCTCTAAGTTAGCCCAAACATCTCTGCGGGATAGTTTAAGCAGTTCAAAAAAAAAGGAGGAAGACGCATTTAAATTTGATTTATGCCAGATGATGATTGCATCCAACATTCCTCTATATAAAGTTAATAACCCTAGTTTTAAACGCTTTTTTGAAAAATATCTTAATAAATCCTTACCGGACGAGAGTACATTGAGAAAACATACTGTGGAAAAATGTTATGTGGAATGTATTTCAAAAATTAAGCACGAGTTGGAGGGCAATTTTTTGTATATTATCGTGGATGAAACGACAGATGTATGCGGCAGGTATATAGCTAATTTAATGATTGGAATTTTGAACGAAAACTTTGCGAGAAAACCTTATTTAGTTGCCGTTAAAGAATTGGAAAAAACAAACAATTTAACAATAAGTCGATTTATACAAGATAGTTTAACAAACCTCTTTTTACCCAACGCTATACCAGTGAATAAAATAGTTTTAATGCTTTCAGATGCTGCGGCATATATGTTAAAAGCTGCTGTTAATTTAAAAATTTTTTATCCTAATTTAATTCATTGCACTTGTGTAGCCCACGGGGTAAATAGAATTGCTGAAGAAATAAGAAATCTGTTTCCGTTGGTAAATAATTTTATAAATTTTATGAAAAAAGTTTTTGTAAAGGCTCCGTTGAGGGTGCAAATATATAAAGAAAGACTTCCGGTGTCCCTTTGCCACCTAAACCAGTAATTACAAGGTGGGGAACCTGGCTCGAAGCAGTCTTTTTTTACTTTGAACACTGCAATGAAATAGAATTAGTTATGTCAGAATTTGATGATGATATTTCCGAAGCCATTCGAGAAGCAAAAAAAATATTAAAAAATCCCAAATTGAAACAGGAACTCGGTTATATCAATGACAATTATAAATTAATAGTTACCACAATTACCTTATTAGAAAAACAAGAGATAAATTTATGTGAGTCAGTAAAATTAATAGATAATTTAAAGACGAAAATTAAATCGGCACCTGGAAGTAACGGTCAATTAATTTTTAAAAAAATGAAATATGTTTTCGACAAGAATGAAGGTTTTTCGTTTTTATCTAATGTTGCTAAAGTTTTGAATGGGACATTTTCCGAGGAATTTCAAATTATGCCAGATTTATTATCCGCTCTGAAATATGCTCCAATTACATCTGTCGATGTCGAACGTTCGTTTTCAATGTACAAATTAATTTTAAGTGATCGAAGACATAGTTTTAAGACCGAAAATATTGAAAAACATTTAGTTGTTTCTATTAATGATAAAATTTTAAGTGGTTACAATGTTTAATTATTAATTAACAGTTATTTAGTTACTAGTTTATTTATACTAATGTTATGATTATGATGTGTAAATATACTTGCCTTAAGTTAATATTACGTTAATTTACTTTGTACAATAAATAATAAGTTATATTCCTTTATTGCCTATATTTTGCCTAAATGTTAATATTCCTGCCTTTTTTAATAAAAATCTTTGCCTATATAGGCGCCTTTTTCTTCAATTTTTGTTGCCTATAAATCCGAGCTTTATTCATGACTTTACTAGGGGTACTCTATGAGTCGTCTTTAATGCAGTGTTTCCCCGTTGCCTTCTGCATCCTTACGCCGTTGACCTATTTTTCGATTCAT